GTATCCGCTTTGTCCTCTGACGTCATTATCCTCGATGTTACCGTAAGTTACTCGTTTTAGATAATGCAATATTTGTATTGGCATTGAATAGTCCTCAAATTTGTGAGTGCACATTTCCAGGGAATGACATGTGGCGGCTGTGCTGCGAGCGTGAAGAGAATTTTAGAAAGTCAAGTAAGTATTCAAAATACTTCTCTTCAATTAAGCTTTCATGTTCATGCTATATAGCCCAAAAATACTGCAGTAGATTGAGTACAAGGTTTGCTTTCGGAACCAAAGGAGGAGCTATCTCTGTTCTTCTTTTGGACTGTTTGGTTCCTTAAATAATATGAAAATGATTGATTACATCAACAGAATTATTAGCTCTCAGTACCAAAAGAAAAGCTAAAAACTACTCGTCTTACTTGGCCTAGAGTGTTTAATTTTCCCAACCATGGGTGGATCCACATTGTGGACTCACATTGTGGACTCAAACCTCTATATATAGTTTAAATTAAAAACTCTCTCTCTCTCTCTCTCTCTCTCTCTCTCTCTCTCTCTCTCTTATGAACTAAGTCTGCATTCATTATCACAAAGGAAAAGTGGGTGCGGTGGTACTTTGTAACCACTGAGTTAGAAGTCCGAATATCCCAAGAACAGTTCAGTTGTCTATGATTTTTGGAGTGCATAAATTGCATAATTTACAGATGTTTATGTATTTGTCACGACCCAAAATCTCACCCGTCATGATGACGCCTATCTCAATACTAGGCAAGTCGACAATCTCAATAAACCACCATATCTTTTAAGTTTAAAAACATAATATCTAAATTTAGCGGAAGAAAAACTCACAAATACATATATAAACACTTCCAAAACCCGGTGTCACTGAGTACATAAGCATCTAATATGAATACAAGTCTGGAAATACGGTCCATAATAGTCTGAGACCAAATGCAGTAAATAAGGAGATAGGAAAGGAGGGGCAAGGTCTGCGAAACACGACAGCTACCTCAGAATCTCCGAAAAATCAACCGTGCGAAAGAATCAGTACCCGCTATGTTCGGAAACACCTGGATCTGCACACGAAGTGCAGGGTGTAGTATGAGTACAACCAACTTATCAAGTAACAATAATAAATAAGGAACTGAAGATAATGACGAGCTACATAGTTATAGTTCATTTCCAATCATTCCAGCAAAGAATAGACATGCTTTCAAATCCGACAGTTTAAGTCAAATCAATTTTATACTGTTCATGTTCATGTAATCCGAATATAAAATCTTTTAGAGAATTTCACAACAATGACAGATAGCAACTAAGTGCAACAACAAATGAAAAGCAAGTACAGCCTCTCAGGGCAACAATTACTCAACTCGTCACAACAGCTCAACCACTCGGCTCTCAGCCCTCAGCACTCACACTCAATGGGTACCCGCGCTCACTGGGGGTGTACAGACTCCGGAGGGGCTTCTACGGCCCAAGCGCTATAATCTGCACGGACAACTCACGTGCCATAGTATAAATATCTGGATCCGCACGGACAACTCACGTGCCATAGTATAAATATCTGGATCCGCACGGACAACTCACGTGCTGCACGGACAACTCACGTGCTATAGTATAATACAAAGATACGCACGGACAACTCACGTGCTGCACGGACAACTCCCGTGCTATAATATCCCGCACGGACAACTCACGTTCTATAATATCCCGCACGGACAACTCACGTGCTATAATATAATATCTCACAATCAGGCCCTCGGCCTCACTCAGTCACAAATCTCTCCAGTCTCTCGGGCTCTCAATAATCATGAAATCAACCCAAACAACAATGATATGATGCATCAATAATGAACAATATAGAGATTGGGAAGTGAGTACAAAACATCAATTAAGCAGATAGTTCAACATGTACACGACCTCTGTGGGTCCCAACAGTACCAACATATAGCCTAAACATGGTTTCTAACATGACTTACAGTCAAATTTCCACAATACATAGAGAGCACATAGCTAAGAACAAGTTATTCAACTTTACAGTTTCCACGGGACAGACTAAGTCACAATCCCCTCGATGCACGCCCACACGCCCGTCACCAAGCATGTGCGTCACCTCCAAAATAATCACATGATACAAAGTCCGGGGTTTCATACCCTTAAGACCAGATTTATAACTGTTACTTACTTCAAACCGTGAAATTCTTATTCCGCTAAGCCTTTCCCTCATGAATTAGCCTTCAAACGCCTCGAATCTAGCCAAAAATAATTCGATTCAGTCAATAAAATTTATTGGAATTAATTCCATAAAAAAATGCTAATTTTCCATAAAAATCTGAAATTTAGCTCAAAAATCGCCCGTGGGGACCACGTCTCGGAATCTGACATAAGTTACAAAATTCGAAAGCCCATTCAACCACGAGTCTAACCATACCAATTTTACCAAAATCCAACCTCAACTCGACCCTCAAATCTTCAATTTAAACCAAGAGGGTTCTCTAAATTTTTCAACCTAATTCACCCATTAAATGATGGATTCAATGACATAATCATGGAAATTAATCAAAACTGGATAACAATCACTTACCCCAAATACTCACGCAAGAATCTCTCCAAAAATCGCCTTCTACCGAGCTCCCAATTTGATTTTGTGTTATGAACTCAAAATCATAACACAAAACCCCCGTTTTGAAACTTTTAATTCTGCCCAGAAATGCCTTCCATCGCGTTCGCGACCATGGCTTCGCGTTTGCGATGCCTTCCTACCTCTGCCCTTCGCGTTCGCGAGACACGAGCCGCGTTCGCGAAGGCTTAGCCCAGGCATGCCCCAACTCCCTTTCCTTTTCGTGTTCACGTCAGCTCACTCGCGTTCGCGTAGGCTTCCCTAGTCTCTTCTTTGCGTTCGCGATGGGTAAATCCCAACAGCCCAAATTCCTTCTTCGCGAACGCGTGAGACCCTTCGCGTTCGCGAAGAACAATGCCAGATACCAGTTCCAGCAGTGGCAAAACAAGGAAAAATGATCCGAAACCATCCCGGAACTCACCCGAGGCCCCCGGGACCTCAACCAAATATACCAACAAGTCCTAAAACATCATACGAACTTAGTCAAACCCTCAAATCACCTCAAACAACGCTAAAACCATGAATTACACCCCAATTCAAGCCTAATGAACTTTGAAATTTCTAATTTCTACAAACGACTCCGGAACCTATCAAATCACGTCCGATTGACCTCAAATTTTGTACACAAGTCATAAATGACATAACAAAGGTATTCAAATTTTCAGAATTGGATTTCGACCTCGATATCAAAAAGTTACCCCCGGGTCAAACTTCCAAAAAATTTGATTTTCGCCATTTTAAGCCTAATTCCACTACGGACCTCCAAATAATTTTCCGGACACGCTCCTAAGTCCAAAATCATCATACGGAGCTATTGGAATTATCAGAATTCAAATCCGAGGTCGTTTACACATAAGTCCACATCTGGTCAACTTTTCTAACTTAAAATTTCAATTATGAGACTAAGTGTCTCATTTCACTCCGAATTCCTTCCGGACACGAACCAACTAACCCGGTAAGTCATAAAACCTCGTAGGAAGTTATTCAAGACTTCAAATAGTTGAAAGGTGCGTAAATGCTCAAAACGACCGGTCGGGTCGTTACAGTTTAGCTAGCCTTTTCTTCTATAACTTGTATCCTAGTTCACGTGTTTTCTATTTCCTTATTCGTATTTCTTTCACTTGATATTATGAATTTCTTTATCAACAGCCACAAGTTTCTTCTGCAACTGTAAATCTTACGACGGAGACAGCAATAGTGTGGCCAGTATCTGACGCGAAGGTTGTACCAAATTGGCAAAAGCAGATAGGGGAGGCCCTTGCTAAGCATTTGACTACTTGCGGGTTCACATCTAATGTTCGAGGTTAGCATTTTCTTTATTGTTGATTTGATCTGCTTCCAATTGTACTGTTGCATTTTACATGTTGTTCATTAGCATAACGATCTCATTGAAAATCTCCAAATGTGGATTGTGCTTGAACTAACTTTCTCTGACTAGCATTATTGGAACTGTAGGTGTATATGTAAAATTAACACTTCAAATGCCGGACAGGGTGCTATACTAAGGAAATAGATTGTGCATAGAACATCTTCAATGGTTGCATGTTTGTGAAAGATTCTGCAAGAGCAGTTGTAGACTTGCTATATATCTTTTTGGTGTTTAATCTTCCTACCATCTCAAGGTTCCTCCGCTTTGGTAGTGACCATGCGTAGCTTTAGGTCGCCACAGTTGATTTAGAAGAACCTATAGTAAATCTGGACCATTTTTGGAGAGTGATTTAAATAGCTGCCTGACATTGTTTCCTTGTTTATTATTTATCTAAGGTGAGTGGTAGTTTTACACTATTGATTAAGAGGAAAGGAACAAGCTATGAGAATACAACAGAAACCCACCCACCGCCTTTTCTCTCTCTCTCTCTTTCTTTCTTTTTCTTTTTTGGGGTTGAATAATATTGCTTTTCGTCTTAAGAATAGGAATTTAACTAAGAATATCTCTCTGGTTTTGTGCTAGATGAAAGAATAGTATTCTGTTTTTGGACCATTAGCACCTCTTATATTTCAAGCAGATCAGAGACTGCAATAAACTTGGGGTTTTTATTACTCATGTGAAGCTTGGTGGGTAATTGACAGGTGAGGGAGCGATTGAAGGGGATTTGCCGTCATGATATGCAAAAGCTTTGTTGAAATGAGCAACCATTGTCCTTCATGGTATGTCCCTGTTATATTGACTAAAACCCTTATCACCAGCACCTCTTAGTCACTTCTCCCTGCCTTTGATAAAAATAGAACATTTAGGTTAAAATAATGATTTTGATTTTGACAACAAGGTCCTTTTCATCTATAGGTGAGAGTTTCAGCGGCAAGTATTGGTGGATTTGTTGAAGAGAGGGATTTCTATGATGAAGAGGCTCGTGCATTTTGAATAATTGTACCAAGACAAGTTTATAAATGTTATTAGTTAATAGGAGCCATCTTCCTGTAAAAGTTCACTGTAGTAGTTCAGGTCGTGAAGACATTAGCTTAGGATAGGCCGGCTGCGTTCCTGTTGTATCTTTCGCCCTTAGTATAAAAGTGGAGGAAATCTTTTAGGTTCTGCAGTCTGACATTCTGGTGAATCTCTTCTTGTAACTGTTGTGTAATTTCTGAACTCCAAAATGGAATTTCCTGTTGCAATGATGTAATGTGTTTTGGTCCACCTTTTGGGTCTCCCTTCTAAAATTTATCTTTTTCTGGACATGAACCCCCCCTCTTCTATTCACTGGACAGATCATCAAAGAAGAAACTAAATTCAGTTTTCAGTTAGACTAATGTGTTGTGAAAGAATCTGACCCATAAAAACAAAAGTGATACAACTTTATTACTAGCCTGAACCTTAATCTCATAAACTAGAAATGTGGAAGAGCATTAATCTTTTATTGTTGATTCATTTCACACTTCCGCTCCATTTTGTAAATCTTTTGTGTACTAGTTTAATTTATTAAGTGATCTTCTATTTATGTTGTCAAACACATGTGATCTCTATTCTTGTGTAGGTTCTTTTTACCTTTTGGTAGAGAATTATCTGACTTATCCCATATTAATAAAATTATCAACCTTATTAAAAAAAACATATGATTGTCTAATGTTTTATTGGTTAACTTAAACTGTTGTGGGCGGTAGCCTATTAATTAAAAGGCACTCTCCTAGAGTCAATTCGCATAAAAGGTAAGGAAGGCACAGTGAGGAAAAGATCTTTGCAACTGAAGTAGACTGCATGAGATAATTGTTGGATTATAAAGTTAGTGATGAAAAGGATAAGTTTTAAGCAACTCATGATCATCAAATAGGAGAAAGTAGTTTAAATGGATGCACTTCTGAATTTTTTCCAGGATCTGCTTTTCAATGTCCAAATCTCAACTTCATTTCAAAATCTTTTGAACTCAGAAGTATTATTTTGATTAAAATAGTTTCCTTCACTTGTGTCCCCCCTTGCCTCCCACTTAATCAAATTCAAGGTGCATAAAATGATTGTGGAAATGGTTTGCATGTGTAAAGGAATAGCGGTACAGTTGTGAACATGAATAATGGTTAACATTTATTGAATGAAGTGATTTTACAACACCGTATTTTTTTTTATGAAGTTGTACGACACCATAGTTTGTGTTTGTGTAAACTCAATCTAGTTAAACTTGCTTGGATGATTAGCATATTTTTCTTGTTTTAATGCTTTTCTTTGGACCTCCTAATTTTGTCCCAACACTTTGTTTATGTCACGCCCCGAAATCGGGGAGCGCGACCGGCGCTCAACCGATTGAACCCGACCGAGCAAGCCTGTTAGATTTCCTTCTACCCAAACTCATCCATGAATAAAGAGGAGATGAACTCCATTAATCAAACATTGAAAAGATTTTCATTAACAACTCCCATTTCATTTTCATTAGAAGTTTCGCTCAAAATTTCCAAAATATTACAAGTTTATAGATATAATGAAAAATATGTTTACCAAATACCAACATTTCTAGTTCAATTCCCCACGTCAAACACCACCCACAACTTGTCTACGGAGCCTCTAAGTACAACAGAAGAGTAGTATGGAAGTGCCGGCAACAAGGCCATGGTTGTACCTTAAAACGCAATGTACAACTCAAATGACACCAAGCCCGGAATAGAGTAGGGCTCACCAAAATCTGCTGAATAGATAGTGACTGCTAACGAGGACCAAAGTTGCCCGCTGATGAACCACCTGCATCCATTGAAGATGCAGCGCCCCCGGCAAAATAGAATGCCAATGTAAGAAAGGGAAATCCATGGAAACCACAATCAACAATCAATGATATCCAAAAGCCAAGTTAAAACATAGTAATATTCAAGATACGAAGATAATATTATATATTTTTGGTTGGGAGATCTTTAGCACTGATATATGATATATATCATTGTTCACAATACCAATACCACCGTACTTTGAGCACGAAGTATGATCACGACCCGATCGGCTAGGCCGTCTCATCCGAGACATCAACCACAATCACAATTTCAATTATAATTTCCAGCACAATCACCATGTGTGCGGCATGGTGTCCGATCACGACCCGATCGGCTAGGCCATCTCACCACAATGCCGTGTGGATCGACATCATCCTTTTCTATCTATCATCTCATCCCAATTAAGGGGAATAATTTTATCATATCAATCTCATCCCAAATAAGGGGAATAATTACAATCTACTCCTATACCGGCACGTGTAGTTTCAGAGTTAGGTTATTTCAACCTACCCTTCCTCGGTGACTATCGATACTTCCAAAAATATTATTTTTGTTTTTGCACACAAAGGTAACAACAATACAAATGCCTTTACCTCATAAGTCATAACCTTTCATACCGTATATAGCCTCATTGGCACTTTCAACATCATTATTTCATTGTCTCTCTTGGTCATGCATATGGTTCTTCATTCATGGCACAATGGCCGTATTTCATATTCCACACTTTCATTCTTTCCTTTCATGGATCATCATCACAAATATCAACATATATAATATTCCGAAAACCACAACTTTAGGTTCATTAGTAATGAAGACTTTAAACACATTGGATTTCTTTCCAAGAAATGGAGTAAAATGATTGGCAATCGAAGCACAAGTTAAAATCGTAAACAAGTAACACACCATTTATTCTTGAAATACTTTTCCCCAAAAAGGGCAATACACCATTTCAACTCATGAATATATAAGAGCTCAAAACACATTGGAATTACTTACAAAGCATAGCATTAGTTAAAACAACCACATATGGGCATCACTTGAATTCATAAGCTTTTAGGCAATTCTATTTTCGAAGTCGATTTTGGAACAGTTGAATCAAAGCTCATTTCATAATCTTTCTCAAATCATCTTATTTCATTGGCACCATTGGCCACAAGTATAACTTTCACTCTTGGCACGTTGGCCACACTTTATACCCCCAATTCACTTATTTCACTTCCAACCATCTTTATAGATTATCAACAATAAGACATTTCCAATCAAGACTTTAGGTACACATATGAGCAATTAAGAGTCTTAAGCATATTGAGATTTTCTCACACAATTTGGCATCATAGCCATCATTTGAAACATGACTCAAAGACATAGCATTTTAATACACATCATTCTTGAACACATTCCCAAAGGATAACATAATGTGATAGGAACATTCGTTACACGTTTTGAATACATAATTCTCGACACTTTGCTTATTCAGGACAATCGAATTTATTGGGAACATCTCGGAACATAGAATAAGGAGCTTGAGACAACCATACTTGAAACTTACGGGAACATCTTGAAATTCAATTCTAAGAGAGTAGTTTAACCAACATACCTCGATTTGAGCTTTTCTTAAATTACTACAATGTTCCAAAAATCCTAGCAATCCCAATCTCAACCTTTAAGCTCCGAAAATACTACAATGATCCAATTGATTAAAATGTCCAAATATCACCCACAATTCAATACCTACCATTAGATATCTCAACTACATCAAAATAAATACGAAAAGATTCATAAATATCCATTTAGGCTTCACAATTCGACAACAAGCCTTCAACCATCCCAAATTATCCAATAGGCTCATCCATTAGCATATTCAATTTAATTCTTATCATTTAATACTCATTTGGAATCAATAATAATACTATGTTAATTACCCAACATCATTAAGTCATTATTCATTACCTTCTCCAACAAAACTCTAGGTTCAAGAATATCCATTTCAAGAACTAGTGTTGTATCTTCTCCAAATGGTGATTCCCAAGTAAATTCGTTCATCAATTAAGTTATCAAGTCTATTGGAATCATTAGAAACTCAAGACATATGTGTTTATATCAATTCATCACTATTCATCTTCTTCTTTACCTAAAAATGGCATTCTCAAGACCCACATTTAGGGTTCATACAATATCCCATTATTACTTCAAATAAAACTCATAAACATGCTACCCATACTCCAATATGACATATATATGAAGCTCAAGTGAAGGGATTACCTCTTGGTGGAAGAATCTCACTTTTCCTCTTTTTGGTGTTCTTGAAGAATCAACCCATTTCCTATGCATTTGATCCATAATAATGTTAGTGTTATCACTAAATGATGTTATATAATCATCCTTGTGCCAAAACAACTTACCTTGAAGTGCATCCATGGTGGAAGAGCTCCTCCTTTCTAGAAATCCATTCCAAGATGAAGAACTAACACATTCTCTCTCTAAACCCACGTTTTCAGCTCCTTAAAATGACCCTTGAAGCTGCGTAGCCTCCTGCGTAGGCTACGCACAAAGGCTACGCAGGGTGGACTTCCATTCCCCTTTAATTAGAAGTTGTTGGATTTGCCTACGCAATGGCGCGTAGGCTACGCTGCTATACTGCGTAAGCTACACAAGACTCGCGTAGCTGTTCTGTCACCCTTTAGTATAAAGGTCATAACTTCTTGTAGGAATCTCCAAATGACGAACGGTTTGAAGCATTAGAAACTAGGCATATAGACCTTTCATTTAATAGGTCATAAACCATATAAAACTTCATATCTTGAGAGTTATTTGCGTAGCTATTCTGTCACCCTTTAGTAAAAAGGTCATAACTTCTTGTAGGAATCTCCAAATGACCAACGGTTTGAAGCATTAGAAACTAGACACATAGACCTTTCATTTAATAGGTCATAAACCATATAAAACTTCATATCTTGAGAGTTATGCTCGTTTGAAGTTAGGTCTTGTGCGAACTCAGTTGAAACTTTACCCCATTATATAATTTCCAACTTGACTTAGCCTTGGGGCTCTTCTTAGACCATAAACCATTCTTAATGCACCTCATACATATATTATCATGATCAATTGATATCATTCATATTATTAGTCTTGTTCATACCCGAATTAATATAATTAATACCTGTCAATCTTCTTAATGGTCTTAAAACACTTCGAAATTTTCCGGGGTGTTACAGTTTATGTCCTGGAAGAATCAACTAGAAGTCATTTGATCATTGTGGTTATCCCCTAAAATATCATAAATTCTAGGAAATAATATCATCAGCACTGATATCTTCCTTCTTGATCTGATTGCATATCACCTTCTTGTTTTAAGTGTTTGCATGTGTATTGGCGTGACATGGGTCTATTTCAATGCAGATTCCGGAAGGGAAAACTTCTTTGAGATATTTGAGAAGAAGATGAATGCAAAGCGTATTCAGTTGAAAGAAAGTGGTACATACCTTACTTAAGAGCTCCTCTTCTAGCCATTTTCTGAGATTTCACAATTTAAGGGACCTATTTTATCAGAATGTAATAACCTCAACACTAATAACCTAATGTTTTAACAGGTCGGGGGCTTGCAGTCTCATGGGCTTTATGTGCAGTGTGCCTTGTCGGCCATCTCTCTCATTTCTTTGGAGCTAAGGCTTCATGGATTCATGCAATTCATTCCACCGGTTTCCATATGACTCTATCTCTGTTTACATTGCTTGTACCTGGTCGACAACTTATTATTGATGGTCTGAAAAGCCTAATTAAAGGATCGCCAAACATGAATACATTAGTTGGTCTTGGGGCCTTGTCATCGTTTGCTGTCAGCTCAATGGCAGCCTTAATACCAAAACTGGTAACTATTTTTACCAATATCCTGTACTTGGTTCTGGTGAATTAAAGTTTCATCTAAAGATTTGAGTATACACTATATGTAATCAGGTTCAGCAGGTACTGTGTACTTGGGGCAAAATACTGGAGTATAAAAACATTTCCATTCATCCAGTCCCCTTTGACTGTAAAACATAATGATTTTATGAAAATCCTAAATAGCAGCTTACAAAAGTTAAACAAACCCCTAAAACTTAATTCTGAACCTAAAGCCGTTAACATGCCCAAAAATATGTCCATGTAAAAGGAAATGGTAAAGATAAGGTCTGGTATATAAGATCGGCTAGTATTCATTTGCTCCCTGCTTCAGAGACATGCATTGTGCTCTCTTTGTATTATTCTGTACTGCCGTCATGTTTGCTTTATCTACTGACAGCCCCTTAAAGTTGTCACCAAATTCCATTTAAACACCTCAACTAAGGCTTGTACCTATTAAGCACCTAACATCATTTAAAGTATACCTATTGAACATTTCAATCATAATAGTTAAAAAGATAGAAGTGCGTGTAACTCAAACACGAATGACATACCAACTTGACGAATGAGACGAGGACTAGTAGCATTAGTGCTAAAAGATTATTTAAAAATTTGAGGAAAAAATTATTTCCGCATAAATTCCCCCCCCCCCCCC